TGTAAATGATCAGTTAAAGCCTTTTAATATTTATTCAGATCTTATTTTCATGCAACAGCAATAGCTGGATGCCTTCATCCATATTAGGGATTTCCTGGAATGTTCTGCTACTTTTGTGAGGTATATATGGAATTTCTGCTCAAGTGTAAATGAAACAGGCATTACATGCATTTAAAGTGCCACAATGCCCACATCAACCTATTTTGAGGAAAACTGAAAAAAAAAACTTAAGAAATAATTTTTCTACTTTAGAAATAATTTTTTGTACCATTTTTGAAACAATTGTTGTTATATCAAAAATAGTAGCCTATTGAACATCAATATATAGCAAGGTAATGAAGTCAGAAATTCCAGTATCTGGACAACATTACACCTTAGTTAAAAATTCTGTCCAAAAGAACATGCTTGCAGCTTCGTATCACATCGAATAACAACATACACTATAAAATAAATTACATTTTCAGATTTGAAGACAATTACATTTTCAAAAAACAAACAGAAACTGCAAATCAGGAGGAGATTGGAGGCTCAAGAGGTATGATATGGCTCATAACAGACTAGTAAATGAGAAGTGGGTTAATTTATCAATGTTTTTTCCTTTTTGATGTTACGAGTTATGCTGGATCTAATCTCACAATATTTGCTAAAAGTGATATTTAATTCACCTTGTTCTCTATATCTATCATAGGGCTGGACAATAATATAATATCAATATATCACGATAGATTTTTTTTCAATAACGGTGATATGATTTTTAAACCCATTTTCGATATTTCGATACATTTGTGTATATGTTTTACATATGTTTTATTATGTTTTGTTATATAATATATAAATATATATATATATATATATATATATATATATATATATATATATATATATATATATATAAAAGATTTTCTACCTTGTATCATTTGTCACTAAATGAATTTCCGTGCTCAGAATGAGCGTGATGTCAATTGCGTGATGAGAGTGCTCAGAAGTTGGTCAAGCCGCTCTGTCACAGAAAGCTACAAAATGAGCGACCTGAATACAGATATAGAGGAACAAGCTTCCACAAGTAAGAATGCAGACAAAGTAGTTGATGTGGACGATGTTCGGCTTTTTAAGTTCCGATCAGCTTTTTGTTTCGGCGCTCTGCAAACGGGAGAGCGATGCCGACTAGCATCGGAAACATCAAATAGATTCATAAAAGTTTAAGTCAACCTGTCGCCTCACCATCCACCTTCCCAACACCAAACACAGATGGCTATGAGGCGCAGTGTAGGGTTTCGCATATCTACACATGAATATACACATATAAACATATACTATGTTCAAAACAAGTATGACACTTGCACATATTTAAACCCACTGCATGCATACACCCACATACACATGCACAGACATATTAACTCGATCCGAACATAAACTTAATCCTTGGATTAAATTAAACACACACACACACAAACACAAAACTCTGCATGCTGGTATAGCACTCAAGGAAACTTACAAAATAAAATTCACAAACATATGTTTCAGGAATCTGGTTATTTCAAAGCTGATGAAATAGAAAGAATTTGATTAATAGAGGTATTAAATCTGTTAAATAATGAAAATGTGTTATACAAAATATTAGTTTATATAAATAGACAATATAAAAAATATAAGAACTATTTTATGTTAAATCTTTTAACTTAATTAGGTAATTACATACACGAAAATAGTCAGAAAAAACCCTTAAAGGATGTTTAAGATAAAAAGCAACCACAACTTTAAATATACTCAAACAACTCTTTTCTTTTGCAAATATTAATGTAGCCTATACTCTTTTTGATTTGCTTTTTAATTATAATTATTACTCTTTTTCTATTTTTTTACGATGTGGATTTTGGTATTATTTTGACCAGAAATAATAAACTGCAGAAAATAGTCATGCTACTTGCTCTACAAACAGGTGTGTTCATGACTATACATACAAATAAAAATAATTAAATGAGAAAATATGACTTTGCAACATCAAGCAGCATTAGGCATGGGCCAGTATAAGATTCTGACAGTATGATATCCTAAAATATATTTTCTTCTGAGAAACTTTTAAAATATTTTTGAGCAGTAAACATCTCAGGCTAAATAATTGAAATGAATCACAGATTTCTTTACGATTTAAAACAGCCTCTTTGGTCTTTACTGCAGGAGATACTGTTGTCCTAAAAAACAAAACATTAAAAAAAACTGACATATACTGTAGGAACGGTGCAGCAGGAAATGTTGGTGATTTTAAAACCTTGACTTTTCCAAACTGCGGTAAACCTTGAATATAGTTATTGCCCCATACCTCAGCAGCATAACACTGATATTTAGGATCTAAAAATTAATTCTTTAAAAAAAGTCTCAAGCAAAAAGATTCCAATGGCGCCGCCTGCTGGTGCATGAAGAATATGGTCTATATTCTGAGACTAAAATATTTTCTAACAATTAATTATTTTTGTGTCCTTTCAGCATGCTCAATATTGGGGGGATCCACATTTTTTGACATACTGTAAACCAGAGTTTCTGCAGGTTTTACAAAGTTAAATTTAAGACTTTATGATATTTTTAAGACCATTATGAATGAAATTTTAGACTCATAAAGGGTTAAAGGGTAAAGAACTTTTCGAATGGGCCAGATGGAAAATATTTTTATTTGCCCCATCAAAATAAAATTTATTTTTAAAACTAAAAAATGAACAAATGTTTTTAAAGTTTTAAAAACTATAACAAACTAAATCTATGCACAACAATCTGTCCAGGTTGATATCCACAGCAGTAAATACATGGAGCACGTTTAAACAAATGTTATTGTGAGGAAAATAATTAAACCATTATGATAAATAGAGTTAAAAAGACCTTTTTGAATAAAAAGTTGAAAGTTTTATTAAGTTGAATTGTTGGTGATTGAATAGGTTTTGGCCAGATTGGGTAGAAAAACATGAACAAAAGAAAATAAAGACTTGTTTAAAAAATACACAATACAGCACAATATTTCAGTAAATTTAAGACTTTTTAAGGCCTAAAATGTTAAGTCTTTTATGAGAATACTGTAGGTCAAATATCATCAGCTTAGTTAAACCTTTTATTAATTTATTGTTTTTATTTATGTTATAAAGCACCAAGGATGCTTCACAAACAGCAAAAGAACAAGAAAAGCAATAACGTTAAGAAGGTTGAGAAAATGGGAGACTAAAAACACATAAAAGAAAGACAAAAGACCTGAGAACAAGTAACAAAAGAAACTCATTCTGTCTTTTAATGAGTGCTTATGTGCATTTAGGAGAACTAGGCAGCACACTCAGGGCTGCAAGATGGAGTTAATTTAGTATTTTTATTAATAAAATATATCTAAATGAGGATCAAATGACTGAGTTGGTCTTTGAGAATGTAAACCAACCTGTTTGTTCCTGCAAATCTTCCTGTTTGACTGTGAATGTTTCTTCAATCTTCACATCTTCACTCTCCTCTTTAATAAACGCCATCTTTATAACAGTGTGGAGATCAGTCGATTCAGCAGGAGTTTTTCTCTACGTTTTGACACATTGTCCTGTTTAAAATGAACAAAACAATAAAAATGTCCTGTTTAAAATAAGTAAAACAATGAACAGAAACAAAATAACTTCTCTTCAACACTTGCTTCAACAGTTTCTTTTAATTATCAAAAAGAAATCAGGTAAAACATTTCTTTAAAAATAGAGGTAAAATTGGTTTTATATTCGCACATTCGGACTTTCCCCTTAATGATATAATTTCATTAAAGTATTATTTGCAAACTCTAAATAGCGAAAATCACAATAGCAGCAAATGACTACTAAAGTACAACATTGTTCACAGTGAATTAGATAGTGTTAATGTTGTTTTCAAGTCACACTTGCATGCTAATTCAGATCAAATATTCAAAGTAACATGGTAAACAATATATAGACTGCTAAATGAACGAATGTGTGAATATAAAACCAACTTTACCTCTTATCAGAAAAGTTTGAGAAACCCTGCTTTAAAACACCTATTACACTCTTTTCGATTTCAAACAATAGCCCTCGGCTACTGATAATAAAATAGTACTACGTTGTATAAAGGGTTTAAATATTATTGTCCAAAGCAGGTACATAATTTAGCATCGGATAAAAAAAAAATCTGAAACTTTAATTAAATCGGGTTAAATCCGTAAACGTTTAAAAACACAAACCTTTCTCCAGTTGAATCACAGCGCTGAAGCGGCGCATCCTGATGACGTCACACGTCACGACAAAATAAAAGTCTTTATTTTCTTTCGCTTTTTTGCCACTTACTGTTGCAGTCATGACTTAATGATACATTTCTCCCATGTTTTTCACTTTATAATATTTTTGCTCTCTCTTTCTCTCTCTCTCACACATTACACATTTTAGGTGCTTTTTTGGCATGACAAATAACTGTACATTTGTATTGTCAAAGCAGTGCAGCGTCGCTGTGTACAAACAAGACAGTGAAAAAAGGGCAGTAGTGCAAACAATTATGGATATAAATTGTAATACAGATAAACACAGAAATAAATAAAATAAAAATAGATTAATGAAATTAAAAATAAATTAATAAAAATAAAAAGATTAATAAAAAATATTTAAAAAATAGATTAGATTTCTCTCTCACACACACACAAACACACTTCAGTATTTAAAGTTGATCAAAAAATTTTAATCTAAACATTAAGACAATTTTGAGAAACTTTTTTTTTATCCAGTTCATGATGACTTGCATGTCTACTACACATTACTTCCTATTAATATCTGAGTCCAAATCTTATCCTCATAATTATGTCCTCTTCTTTTCTATTTCTACAACTTTATAGGCCTATATAGGGTTTCTTATTGTTTCATATAAATTGTCGTCTCTTATTATCTGTTCCACGTTTCCTGCCATTCTTTAGCAATATCTTCAGTGATAATATTAAATTTACAGAAGCATTAAAGGGGTAGTTCACATAAAAATTACAATTCTGACATTTACTTATCCTCTACTTGTTCCAAACCTGTGTGAGTTTCTTCTGCTGAATGGAAATGAAGAGAATAGGCTACAGGGTCAAAAACAGCCACACTCTTAAAAATGATGTGTTAAAAATTTACACAAAATATGTGTTAAACAGTTCATAACACATTTTGTGTTACTGCAGACACATTGTGTGTTAATATTGTGCTTAAGTGTTTACACAATGACTGTGTTAAACACATTTAAACAGTATGTTGGAATAAAATACATTTTTGTCTGGAGTCAAATGGCACTGTGCTATGTGTTTATGTAGTTTATTTATCATAATGGTAATATAAAATAAGCATTTGTGAAAATGTGGCTGAAAATTCTGTATTTCGGGATTTATGCTGTGTATTTGTGCACGCGCATGCGCAGTGACGTTCTTTTTCAACCGTCGCTCTCCGGGAGCTCTGTCGGATAATGCATCTCTCTGCCTCAGGTGAGTGAAATTAATTAAAATTCGGCTACGATAGTAAATATTTCTTCCACTCTGCGTGAGAATGTTTTGTGTTAGTTGTCCAGGAAGTTATTTTTGTTACTTTTATTATGTCTCCATGTTTCATACTCCAAATACACGGGTGACTTGGCAACTCGGTCATGTACCATTAACTTTAGCCGCCTAAGCTAACGCATCTGGCGCGTCTTTTGCAAAGCTGCGTTGGCACTCGGCAGAATTGTTAATAATAAGTTACATATTTAAGGTGAAAGACTGACCCTAAATATGTATTGCATTTTGGTATGAGAGTTGCCGTCACTTTAAAATCTCCGGCTTCGCGTCACTTTAAAGCCTCCGCATCACTGACACTGGAGGTAAATTAACGATACCGGACACAATTTATACATTAACGTTTTAATCATAATGTTATTTGATATAAAACATAAGATGCCGCTTTGCGGCAGGAATTTGAACAAGAATGCCTTTCCATAACATTAGTTTGGCGCTTTGTACAGACACCAAATGGCGCCGCTGTGTGAGCAAATTCATAAACAATATCTAACGTTAAAATATGAAGATCTTTATTGTAATTAACATTGCGCGCCATTTTGTGCTAACCGACTAGTCATATACTATTTAAAATGTGCTTTTTATTGTCATACTCATTGTTACATGTGTTTGTTTTCTCATTGTGCTTGTATATACATGGATTTCTCTCTCTTTTACTTAGATGATGGAAGTCGAGGAGCAAATTACAGTCACTTTAACAGTTTTACACCGAGTTCTTGCAACTGTCTTCATAGACAAAAAGGAAATTTGGAGAAAACTATTCACAGTTGGCAGTGTTGGAGATCTGATAGCCTCAGTCAAACCTGAACTGTCTCAACAACTATCTCTTGATCGAATATTGAAATTTGACACAGATTTTCAAGAGTTCATTGACACTGATGTAAATGCAGGAGTACAGGAGCTTGACAAATTTCAAATGTATTATATTGCAAGCAACACCCCGGACTCATTAGAAAGAAGTGTGCACTTATTACAGGTAAAACATTAATATCTTTCTCCCTTTATATTACTATAGATAAAAGTGAACATTTCAATAAATAAAATGTTTTTGGCATTTCTAGTGTCCTTTAACAGATTCAATTCAGACTGGCACCACAACTAGTTTGCTGACGCTGCTTGAAGAAAAAGCCCCTACAATCCTGAGAGAACATGAAGAGACTAAGACGCTGTCGATTTCCTCAAGAAAGATTCTTGTTAAAGTTGCTGTCAGTGACCTTGTAGAGAAACATGGATTGTGAGTATGGTTTGTTTATTCCACGTAAGGTGTATTTCTTTGCAAATTCATTAAATTACATTTATTTAAATAAGTTATATATTAAAATAAATTCTACATTTAAAAAAATGTTTTAAATAAATAAATTTAACAATCAGTTTATCCCAATCAATTCTAAAGTACCACTGTTTAGTCAGTTTTTTATGTTTGTGAAGGAGCAATTTGTGCAACTGTATTTTTATTTTTAATTTTTTACTTTTTTTAGCTATCCATCTGGTACAGAAAAGCTGGCTCTAGCAAAAGAGATTGTGTCATTGTTCCCCTCGTTAAGGATTCAGGTGCCCTTTGGGGAAAATGAGGGACATGTAAGAATGTTTTTTACAATATAAACTGAATTGTTTAGGAATGTGTATGCAAGTTGCTCATGTATACTTGACTTTAACTAGTTCTGTTTTTGCATTACCAACATCAGGAGCATTTTTTTGATGGGCCATCACACAGTGGATTTATTGAAATGAGATTACGTAACATCAGACGGAAGCTTCAACAGAGCCAGCGGGTGTACAGTTTGAAACGTCGTCATTGTACACCGCAACCTTCTTTACCAAGTCCAGATGAAACTGTACCAAGTGAGTGGTTGACTCTGATAAAGAGGATGCGACCATCACCAGAGAATTCATCATCAATAAAGACTGCAATCAATCAAACCTTCAGTTACCGAAGGAGATGGATAACAACAAAATCCCCAACTGTTGCTGAAATCTTCAAGGAATATCCTAGATTTCTTGACATGCCAGCTTTGGTAATAGACATGCTTAACTAAGACAGAACTTTACACAAACATTTTTCATAATTGTAATATTAATATTTCTTTGTTTCTGATTTTCTTTCTTTCTTTCTTTGAAGATGGACATTGAATTTTCCAAGCTCACCGATGGGAAAGAAGACTTGTTTATCCGGAAATGGGAAGGGACGATAATTCCAAGACTCAAGGAAATAGCATCCTTGGAGAAGAAAAATGACATCAGACACTTACAGGAGAAGGCTGAGAATCAGCATGATGGTATGAGTTTCAGCCAAAATGTCTGTTGCATGTGCATACTTTTCTAAACATAGGTTAAATGAGAAAATTTTATGTGAATATTGATATTCTATTCAAGATAAAATATTAATTCCAAAAAAATTTTTAATTTTTTTTTTTGCATGTGACCTGTATCTTCACTTCAAGATGAACTGTGTTACACTATGTTGAAGATCCTTATTCATCTTCTTCCACCCACTGCATCTGGGAGAAGTGTTGCTGGGAGTAAATGCTGTGTGACTTCTGCTGTGTCCTACCTGTTGGAGCAAGTGCCGGTATAGTTTTATTGTGTTAGCTTGTGATAAATAAAATTGTTTTTAATGGAGCAACATTTTCTAATGCTTTTCATTGTTTCATTTTTGAAGGCTGGTACCAACGTTACATCTTTGCTCGCTGAATCCATGAATGGGACCCTGAAGTCAGCTCAGCCACAGTTGGTTTCCATCGGTTCTCTAGGACATGGATCCCAGTACGTAATTGTGGCAAAGAATGACTCTTTTGCTCTTCCACTTGATGTTGAAAGCCTGACCTGTGCTGTAGACAGACTTTTCAAATTCTACTGGCTGTGCAACCTTCAGTATCCATGCCAACTGTCTTCTGTTTTTTCTTTTTTTGCGTATATATATGACCTGTCTTTGTCCCAGTCATCTTGCAAACGATAAAAGGTCATGGAATTGATTGCTAAGGTGCAGTCTCGTACCTAATTGAAATAAGCATGTACACCTGTCCAAAGTGTCTTCAAAATGATTTTGTTGAAACAAAGGGGTTAATTTGGCATTTAAGGGAAGTGCATGCACTCTCTGATAGTTACAACCTAACTTTAATTTGTAGTCAAAATGGTTGCCCAAGAACTTATCATAATTTCAATTCCTTTTTAAAACATCTGAACAGAGATCATTTTAAAACGAATTCATGCCCTTCTGAAGAGTCAGGACATACAAAGAACTTAGATTTATCCTATCAAATTGATGAAAGCAGAATAAATAATTTTGAGGATAATGTCCAAATGTCTAAAACAGAGCTAGTTCCTCAGAGCAGTTTAAACCTAAAAGACTGTGCTGCAGCTTTTGCTGCCAGCATGTATGCCTCTTCTAATGTAACTTATACTGATGTTCAAAAAAGTATAACCTGCACAAAAGAAGTTATTGATCGTACCTTAGGTCATTTGCAAGAAAAGACTAATACTTTACTTAAGAACTTGGCAGTTCCGCTAGATAGTGCTGAAGTTCAAACACTTATGAAGGATTTTGACTATGCTAGAAACATGTTTGGTGACATAGATACTACATTTAAACTAACTAAGTACTTTTCTGACAAATTTTCCTTTGAGAAACCAACAGAAGTGTTTCTTGGTCACAGATTAGATTGTCTTAGAAAGAATGGGGGGAAAAGCCAGGCGCTTGTGCCTGTCACATGTCAGTACATCTCAATAATTAACACAATTAAATTTTTATTTAGTTGTGACAAAATGCAGAATATGTATATGCAGTCTTGCGGTGAACGAGATACAATGCATGATTATTGTGATGGTGCTCAATATTCTAAACATCCTCTTTACCGAAACCATCCAAATGCATTACAAATTCAGTTATACTTCGATGACTTGGAAACAACTAATCCTCTTGGATCTAAAACAAAGATTCATAAAATGGGGGCTGTTTACTTTGCTTTACGAAATGTGCCGTCAGAAAAAAATTCTGTACTTTCCAATATCCATTTATGTCTCTTATTTAATTCTATTGATAAAGACATTTATGGTTTTGACAAAATTTTGGAACCTCTTATAACAGACTTAAAAGAAATTGAGCAGAATGGTATAGAGGTCAAACTACACGATAAACATCAATTACTTTTTGGAACAGTCTGTTTGCTGACAGCGGACAATCTTGCCTGTCACTCACTCTGTGGCTATGTGGAAAGTTTCTCTGCAAACCGATTTTGTCAATTTTGTCTAATTGACAAATCAAGTTCCCAGATTATTTTTGATGAAAATAATACAGAGAGACGTACAAGGGAAAACTATGCATACCATGTACAACTCAATGATGCAAGTGCAACCGGTGTCAAACAGAACTCATGCCTAAACAGCCTACAGTATTTTCATGTCACTGAGAATATTGGTGTACACTGTAATCCCGAATAAGTTGACAAAACTCAAAAAATTTGAGGTAATCAGTTACGTCAAATTTTTTAAGTTATGAAATTATCTATTTTAAGTAAACAGAAACATTAAGTTTTGAGTTTGTTGTACTCATGCAAGACACTTCACTCAACTTAAAATACCCAAGTTACTCAGCTTATACGTTTTAATTGCAATTAACTTAATTGTTTTAATTTTTCCAAACTTTAAATACTTAGTCACCCAGCTCATACATTTTAATACCAATTAACTTAATTGCTTTAATTTCTTTTAACTTTAAATACTTAGTCACCCAGCTCATACATTTTAATACCAATTAACTTAATTGCTTTAATTTCTTTCAACTTTAAATACTTAAATCACCCAGCTCATACATTTTAATAGCAATTAACTTATTTTTAATTATTTATCTCACCTTTACATACTTAGTCACCCAGCTCATACATTTTGATAGCATTTTTTAAAATTAACTTCTCCATCGTCAGTTTCACAATTAAAATTAGCCATTATTTTAATCTTTAAACCCCATAAATCTGTCAAAATAAATCTGTAATTTAAAACACACAGACAATACCATTTTAGACATTTATTGTTAAAGAAAAAATGTCCAACAGTACTTTCAAATTTGTCTCCTATGCAATTACAAATGTCTTAAAACGATAAAAACTATTAGACATAAAGAGATTGAAAATGAACACTAATCTGAAATTAATAAAAATTACCCACAATGTAAATATATCAGACATAAGAGCCTCAAGAAAAAACTATAAGTTTGATAAAATTTAATAGTACATTAATAAGTGTAAAACTTACTCTTAAGGCATTCGTTAAAAAAAATAATAAGTGCACATTCTGTGAAGTGACTCGTTTAGTGTAAACTACACAGAAACTGTATATATATCGTTGAAGTCAGAATTATTCGCCCCCATTTATTTTTCCCCCAATTTCTGTTTAACGGAGAGCAGATTATATATATATATATATATATATATATATATATATATATATATATATATATATATATATATAGTAGCGAGGCAGAGGGAAAACAGCGACACAGTTGGATAAGTTTACAGACAAGTCCCCGGAGGGTGCTTTATTTACAACGTGAATGGGGTGTAAACGGTGCTCTTCTTCAAGGTGAGGTGCTCTGGTGCTCCGGGAAGTAAGTGAAGGACAGTGAGTAGTCGGATGTGGGATCGTCACGAGCTGGAGTCTGCTGTGGAGAGACAGCGAGACAAGCGTTAGCGCATGGAGTCATTGGGTGAATGAAGCTCATCTTCTCCTTGCGTGGGCTTGGTTTATATGCCTCTCCACTTGATGACGTCCAGCTGTGAACGATCCTGTGTTGATGATGGTCCAGCTGGGTTGAATTAGCGACCAGGGCGACATGGCATGTGTGCGCTCGTTACAATATATATATATATATATATATATATATATATATATATATATATATATATATATATATATTCAGTCTTGGTTGAACTATGATTCTGTCATTTACTTATTCCAAACCTGTTTGAGTTTCTTTCTTCTGTTGAAAAAAAAAAAAAAAGCTGAGACCTGTAACCACCGATTTCCACAGTATTTGTTTTCCTATTAGAAAGTCAGTGGTTACAGGTTGTCAGCTTTACTTAACTTTTGTGTTCAACAGAAGCAAGAAATTCAAGCAGGTTTGGGACAAGTGAAGAGTTAGTAAATGACAGAATTTTACATTTGGACAAACTATCCCTATATATAATAAAATGCATACTTACCAATTAAAGGTAAATAAATGTTTTGAAGTTACTACCCCAGAGACAGTCTTTATTAAGTTAAAAAAAAAAAGCTCTACATCAACTCATTCTTTAAGGTTTCCATGCTACGAGACTTTTTATTTTCCATCATCCATGCCAAGCAAAACTTTTTGCACAAGTTCAAAGTCCTTTACTATATATTATGTGAAGAGCATACATTAATCCATACAAGACAAGAAAGGTCTGGAAGTGTGCTGTGGGTGGTGTCCAATTCATTCTTCAGGACAACAGAGACCCTCAGTGAATGCAGGGCCAATAAAGCATCTTCAGTCAGCAGGATTATCAATCTAAAAACATAATTCAAGCATATTAATGTAAGGACAGTATCAAAATGACTGAGCCAATATTATATGATTCATCAACTATTCTTGATTACAAATATGTTAAGTAAAAGTTTTCAAAACTTTCATCTTTTCATTAAACATGCCTAATTGTGAAAAGAATGAATGAAGTCTTACCATGGTGTTCCTAAAGAATCTTAAGTCACGCTCACGCAGCAAGACCAAAAGACCTCTGATAACAGTAGTCCGTCATGAACTGACATCATTCAGTTCCTGGAAATCAAGAATCAATTTTTTAAAAATTAAAAAAATAATAATAATTCAAATTATATTTTAATGTATACTTTAACACGTGACCCCAAACATACCTGCTCATCATAAACCTTTAAAAGATTAGCCAGGGTATCTGCTGTCTTGCCAGTTTTGGATGCTGTTTGCCTTAAAATTGTCATCAAATGAAATAGGTGGTGGTCCAGTTTTGCAAAGAATTTGTGGGGAAAATTCTCATTTGTAACATGTTGGTACTCTGCAAACAGCAAAAAGAAACAAGAGAGAATTTCATAAAACAAACCCACACCACAAAATATACAATTCTAGAAAAAATGTATTAATATTATTATTATGTTTCATTTACTTATCTATTTTTTACCTCAGATGAAAATCAGGTGTTGATCAGATGTTGAAAGCAGGATCTTCATGTTGTAAACTGAACTCAAGGTCTAGCTGAAGTTTCACTTTCCTTGCTGCAAAAGTATCATTGATAAATACACTGTAATATTTATTTTATCTGGATATGCCAGGCATAGTAGTACAAAATAAATATTTTACCCACCTTTCACATGCCTCCATTTAAGAACCTATCTGTAGTCAGCAACACCTGACCTTCAATTCTGTATGTACACAAAGTCACAGTGTCATTTAGCTGAGAGTGGAAGTAGTACAATTGCCTGATGTCTAACGTTAACCTCCAAAACGGTTAGCAATAGAGCTGATTATCATGTTAGTTGCTTTAATTCGATGAACACAGATTTAAACAGTATTGAAATTTCTAAAACTGAATAGGACGAAAAAGAAATTTAAGGCCTGATTTTAAAAGCTAGAAATAACAAAACTTACCTTATTGTCTAATGATGTAAAAATATATAGACTAAAATATTTATATTTTTAAGATATAAATATATTTTAAGCTACAAAATTTGGACATCAGAAAACTGTCTTCTTTACCACGTCTTGAATATTTTGTTTTGTTATTATTTTATTTAATAACATAATTTTGTATTAATGTGTTATAGATATGCATACTTTGTTTTTTAGGCTGTTTATATTCTCTCCAGAGTAGACATTTTAAAAAATAGATTGAAAAAAAAAAAAAAAACTTTTATCATACTTTTAAAATACATTTGACCTAAATGACATTTAAATTCACTTAACTGATCGCATTAATCAGGTAATCATTGATATGCAGAGATGTCGTCTTAAGCGCGAGGAAATATTAAGTGTTGATCAGTGCTGGTGATTGAGGTAAAGTTAGTTTTATATTTACACATTCAGACTTTCTCCTTAATAATATAATTTCAGAAAAGTACTTTTTGCATATTCTTAATGGTGAAATCATATTAGCAGCCAATGACTTTCAAAGTACAACATTGTTCAGTCAAAAAAAATAGTGCATTTAGTGTAATGTTGTTTTTTATGTCATACTTGCATGTGATTTCAGAACGAATAGACAAAGAACCATGGTAAACAATTTATGGAGCGAGTCACAAGTTGTTACTAAATGAATGTATGAATATAAAACCAACTTTACCTCAATGTGGTAGTGTAAAATGAAGCTCTGCTCTGTACCTGCTCAGGTGAGGAGCGCAGCTTAAATGTTCTCCGTCAGGCTATCCTCATACATGGATCAGCAAGCAACAAGCTGCGTGTGACAGAGTTAAGTTTTGAGACTACGTTTTTGCGCGTCATCAGAAAATACCGTTAAGTGTTTAGGCGGAGATCATTTGAGTTATGATTAACGTTACGTTTCTTGTGCCTTTCGTTTCCGAAGTGCCTACAGATCGCGAAGATAATACCACATTCACAGACTGGATGGAGTTCAGCGCAGCGCCATGACATGCGGTTGTGAGAGCGCACGTCTCCATGACAACTTCAGCACAGGCTGAGAAAAGGCATACTCGCGCCAAGATTTAAATTTTTTTGAAAAATGTAGTCTGCCGATTTTAAATATTTTTGTCTTTATCACACTCTGTTAAAATTCAGAGTTAACACATTACAACTAACGCTAACATTGCACTGATTCTAACTTTTTAAACAGTAATGTTAACGTTAGTTAGCAACAAGTGAGGCTAAACATGTTTTCTGTAATGTACGACATGTAAACGCACCCTGATTAACTCTACATTACATTGAACTGTTACTGTGATTATATTAATTAAAACATACATTTAATATTTCTTGGATTTGTAAATATTTTACTTACTGTAGTGTGAAGCGAGGCCGATCCGCCATCTTGAAAAAAAAAACGAATGAAGCATGAGCACGTACGTGAACCTGGATGACGTCAGACGCAAAATCACTAGGCTGACAGAATTTGAGTTAATGAAACTTTAAAGAGACATTTTGTATAGATTAAACCCAGCAGAATTGTTCACCTTACTTGAAAGATTAAATTTTTACAAACTCAAAAATAAGAAAAAGTTCTAAATACTCATCAAGGTTAATTAAGATAAACGAATTTTAATGATTTAAGTTAATAGAACTCAACTCAATTAATTAGTTACAGCATTAGGGTTTACAGTGTAGACATTATGCATGATGTGTTGGAAGGAGTCGGACCTCTTGAGGTCAAATTGATGCTGCGGCATTTCATTTATGAAGAGAAATGTTTTTCTCTGGAACTTTTAAATGAAAGAATAGCAGCTTTTGACTATGGCTATGGAAATCAAAAAAATA